GCCGACCCCTCCCAGGGCCCCATAATTTGCCATCTGTTAGGGGGTCACAGGAGGAGGTGACCAGAAAGGAAATGAACTGATGTCTGTCCCCTCATCCCAGTCCCTGTAGTGGATATGGTGAGTCCAGCTGAAGAGATCACACCTTGACAGGGTGACTGTGTGTGTGTGTGTGTGTGTGTGTGTGTGTGTGTGTGTGTGTAGGTGGGAGGGGGACTGAGAATGTCAGCATGTGCCTGTGTTTACATGGACCTGTATGACTGGATCTGCCCTCTGGGTCTCTCTGGGCACTGGCTAACATCATCCTGTGTACCTCTGCCCACACGCGTGAATGTGTACATCAGTGTGTGGGCCCATCTGACCCTACATGCCCATATCTTCATATTGAGTCCATGACGCCGGGTAGGTTTTCTGTCTGTGTTGGGTACCATTGTCTTCTCTCTCTGAAAAGGATTCAACTAGTGAGCAGGGGGAAGAAGCCGAACCCACTCCTGTCTGGCATGTGATTGTTGTCTAGACACGCCTGCTTGCTGTGACAGGACTTACTCCCCAGACCCGTGTAAAAGTGCTTGGCTGTCACGGCCTGTTGCTGAGGCTCCACAGTGACTAAGCCAACATCCTAGGGTGATGCACTGCACTCACGGGGGCTCAGAGACATGTCATGAACCCCAGTAGAGACCATCTTCCTGGGCGTTTCAGCGCTTTGGTAACATCTGAGAGAGCAAGTCCAGCTTAGTTACTACAGAGTCAGCGATGCCACAGACTGTGGGAGAAGGTCACAGAGCTACAGGGAAACTTGGCTCAGAGGGGAAGTGTCTTGCCTGAGGTCACAAGGTAATTCCTCACTCATTCTTTAATCGATGCTTACCAAGCACCTATTGTGTGTCAACCACTGTGCTAGATGCTGAAAATGAATAATCAGAAAGTTAAGCCATGGAGTCTGCTATTAAGACATCTGCAATTATATTGGGGAGACAGACATCTGAGCAAACACTTATGATAGAACCAGGCTGAATGCCACAGCAGGAAAAACATACAAAGGGCCACCTGGGGGACAAGATGTGGCAGACCAAACAATGGCCCCCAAAGATGTCCTGTCCTAATCCCCAGAACCCATGACTATGTTATCTGACATGGCAAAGTAGACTTTGCAGATGTGATTAAGATAAAGATCTTGAGATGGGAGAAATTACCCTGGATTATCCAGGTGAGTCCAATGTAATCATGAGTCCTCGTAAGAGAGGCAGGAAAGTCAGAATCACAGGAGATGTGACGATGGAAGCAGGAGCCAGAGAGAGCGAGAGAGAGACTTGGTGATGCTACGCTGCCGGTTTTGAGGATGGAGGAAGGGACCACAGCCAAAGCATGCAGGCCGGCTCTAGATCAGCGGTTCTCAACCTGGGGGTTGAACGACCCTTTCACAGGGGTCGCCTAAGACCATCGGAAAACACATATATCATTACATATTGTTTTTGTGATTAATCAGTATGCTTTAATTATGTTCAATTTGTAACAATGAAATTGGAGGTCACCACAATATGGGGAACTGTATTAAAGCGTTGCGGCATTAGGAAGGTTGAGAACCTCTGCTCTAAGATTCTGGGAAAGTCAAGAAAACGGATCCTCCCCAGTGCCTCCAGAAGGAACGCAGTCCTGCCAACACCTTGATGTTAGCTCAGTGAGACCCATTTTGAAATATCAAACTCGAGAACTCTAAGACAGTGGATTTGTGTTGTTTTATAGCACTACATTTGTGTTAATTTGTGGCAGCAGCAACATGGGAAACTAACACAGAAGGTTTCATCAGAGATGAGGGAAAACTGGGACTGTGTAACACCAACGGGGATGACTGTGTAAGAGCTCAGGGAGCTGGAGATTATTGACAAGTTCCGTGTGCCTGGAGAGGAGTAGGAGATGAGCCCTGAGAAGAAGCTGGGGTCTGACAGCACTGGCTCTGAGTGGACCCCCCTCCTGGCTTCTCTACTTACTAGTGCCCACACCCATGCCCCACTGTCATGTCACATGGAAGGATTGAGCACGGAGCCTCTAGAACAAGCTGGTCAGTGACAGCCACTCCCATCAACAGCTGCTCTCCCAATTTCCCTCCCCCTAGCCTTGACTGGAAAAAAGAAAGGAATGAACAAAACCACCAAAACAGCCAGTCCCTGAGTTTAGAGTTCCCGTGCCAGGCTGGCACACAGCTCAGAGGCCACTTTTGTTGCGGTGCCCACTTGGATCGCCCCAACTCCCCGCCCCTGTTCTTGCACACTGCACTGAGTCCGGCCCTCGCCTGACCATTGAAGTGCCCCGTTCTGGTCTCCATTGCAGCCCCACACGGGACTGTAACTCCCGTGCTTGGCCTGACTTGGAAGTGACTAGACTGGGATTTCCTCGGGGGCAAGGCCTGTGTCTTATCCATCCTCTGTCTTTAAGAGAATGTCCTTAGAGTGTTCTCAGGAAAGGGAACATCCACTCATTGAGTCTAGCTTCTTGCTGCAAGGCATGCATTTATCTACTCTGAGCTAGGATCCCTGAGAGGCCTTGGTGAGACAGGGAGAATTAGATATATATTATACATGGGCCTGCCCCCAAGGAACACACATTCTAAAAGGAGGAACACCAACAATTTCAACACAGATAAATGCTCTCACAGGAGGGTGAGAGGTTATTGTAGGGGGACATGGGGCTGCAGGCAGGCTTAGAAATTAGGAAAGGACAGGGGCTGGCCCCTATCGCTCCATTGTTCATGATTCCTTCCGTGAATGAGCAAGGATTATACTAACAACAGTACAGCCTATACATGCATGGTGCCAAACATCCAGCCATAACTGGATTCCTGGTGGGCTAGGGGGAGCCCCCCTGAGAAGGGCCCAGAAGGCACAATATCAGAATAGCTACTCATTCATGTTTGCTGAATACACCCCTCAAAACTTTTAGCAGACAGGAAAAGCAGATTCCCAAGGAGAGCGAGTCTCAGAGAGGGGGAGTACCGTAACCCACCCTCACTAGGATCAGCATGTAGAAAGGGCAACCCATTCACTCGGGGCAAATCAGAATGTGGCCCATCCCAAGGCCATTCTCTAGGGAGCACTGTGACAGGATGGGTAAGGCCCTCAGGTCGGGGGAGGCCTTAGCCTTCACCAAACTCCCTCTTCTCCAGCCAACACTGAGGCTAAGGTCTGACCAAAGGTCACGGTGGGGCAGACAGAAGTTCTCCCAGAAGCTGAGTTCTACTAAACAGTAAGTGTCCAACAAAGCAGCATTTGAGTACCCTGAGTCAGGACTTAGAGTTGGCATGTGACCTGGGGCAAGTTTCTTCCCCTCTCAACCCAAAATGCCCTCAGAGATAAAGTGAGTTCAACATATTCTATACAATCTCTTCCAGTTGTGACATTCTGCCATTATTTATGGAGCAGAGGATGTGCAGACCCTGTCGGATGAAAATGCACAGGCTTGAAAGAGGTGGTCATGATTCTCATTTTGCTGGAGGGGTCTGGGGTGGGTGACTCCTCGGATACCAAGCAGAGAAGAGGTCCGAGAGCTCCCTGGCTGTGGTCCCTGAGCCGGAAACACTTACAAAGCAGCAGCCCAGGGCTTGCTTGCATACTAAGGACGAGATGCTACTTACTATGCAGCAGGCGACCAGGGCTCCTTGAGCAAATCCTGCCAGGACGTCGCTGGGATGGTGTTTGTGGTCAGATACGCGGGACAGTCCTGTGTAAAAGGCCATCATGATCAGGGTGAATTGCAGGAGGGGCCGGAGCAGACGAGCACCTCGCCAAGTGAAGCGGGCCTGAAGGTACAGCTGGAGGTGGGAGAGAAAAGGAACAGACACTAAGTCACTCACTATTGAGGGCATTATAGTGCCTGGCCGACACACGCTGCATCTGGACCTTGGGGTTGGCATCTTGTAGAAAGAGCATTCGACTTGGATATGACCTCAAGCCAGTTTTTTAAGCCCTGATCCTATACTAAAAAAATAAGAAAAAGGGAGTTTTCCGAGGGAGATCAGCTAGAGCGAGCTGAGGAAGACAATACATGACAGTGGCCTTAGCATATGACTGGCACATACTAGACACCTAATAAATGTTTCATTTCCTTTTCTTTACTTCGTGATTAAAACTCATTAAATAGTAACCAGGGTTACTAGAGGTTACTTTTCAACAAATGATAACTCCTTGAGCGCATCTGTGCGGTTTCCTGGAGCCTGTGGCTATGCAATCCCTGCAGGGCCTTCCTCTCAGCACCATCAAGGAAACAGAGATGCATGATGATAAGCAGGTTATCCTGACAGTCACGGGAGATGCCTGAGCGTCAGAAGAAAGCACCTTATCAGAGGACAGGTTCCTAAGTCATGGCTTGTGCCAGTGGATGTCGAATTAGAAAATGAGGACACACAAATCATCCAGACAATGCCAGAGGACTTGCAGAGAGAGGCTGACAGACACTGGGCTGGGTGGGGCAGGAGAGTAACCTGAAGAAAAATTAAAGAAAAAAAACCACCTCTGGCTGAAGCAAAAAAGCTGAAATGACGTCAACTGGGCATTGTCCCCCATAGTTATCTTGCTGCAGTTTCCGTTCTAACCTCTGGGCACAACCCACTTTCCAGGTTCCTGTGGGAACTTGGGAAACGTGGGGGGGAAGAAGCAAGGGGACAAGGGGAACTTCCGACGACAAATCAAAGCAAAGCCCTGGGAGAGGCCAGGAAAAAGGGGAAGAGGGCCGAGGGGAGGGGGCTGGCAGCCTAAAGATAGGCCTCTGCCCTTCCTGAGACAAATGGACACTTTCCTTTTGGTTGTCAGGAAAGACCACGCCAGCAGCCGGGCCTGAGAAGACAGAGGGTGGAAGGTTCTGGAGTCACTCTTGCTTGTGTAGGAAGAGGGCCTAGCACTGAATCCTCAACTAAATGTTGAAGACTATTTGCTAAACAAGGGATGAAAATCAATGTGTTTTTTTTTTTACATATAAAAAAATAACCAGTTAAAGATCTAAAAGAGGTAAAATCATCATAATAACAAAGATGATTAAATAAGTAGTAATTATCTTACAAAACCTACATAGCTTTCATGAAATAAGGAACATAAAGGACAATTTAAATGGAGAGCTAGAATTTTATTTCTAAGAACACTTCACTTACGAAATTGAGTAAATTGGCATGTAAATTCAATCAGATTCCCATGGATATCCTGTAAAAATTTGGAGGGGGAAAAACCTGGAAAAAAATATTCTAAAACTAACATACGGGGCCCAATCTATGGAACTAGGGAGAAATAAAATAAAAAAATTAAATTAAAAAATAAAACAAGCATTATGATACACGTGCTAAGGATACAAAATGAGAAGTTATAATTCCTGCCCTATGGATCATACAGTTGGGGGCAAGGGGAGCTACATGAAAACAAAAACAAGTATACTTATGTATTTTATAGGAACTATGAAAGAAGTTGGGGTGAGTTACCAAGTGCAAGGGATATTTGACTTGAATCCTCAAGATGAATAAGTATTTGCTAGGAGTTAAAGGGACAGTAGTGAGGGGCGTGTATTTCAGGCAGCTGGATGACTTAGAAGCCAGCAATCAGAGCTCATGGCACTTCGAGTGGCTCAGCTCAGCTGAAGAGGGTGTTGGGGGCTGGTGAGAAACAGAGGCTAGAGGCAAACAGAGGCTGCTCATGAAGGGCATTGGGTGTCAAACCGAGGAACTTGTCTTTATTTAGGAGGTCAGTCTTTCTTCAGCCGTACTGCATGGACTGTTAGGGGTCTTTTTAAAAAACGAATAATAAATGCTCTATACTAAATCTGTTTTCATCATTTACAATAATTAATTTTACAGGACATCTACCTATTGAATCCCTACTGAGAAATGTTGCTGTAAGCAATGGTGAAAAATTAAATGGTTCTAAGCAAGGCATAAGGTACCATAAAAAAATAATCTACCATAAAAAATAATCTGCACATCAAAGGCTAGTCCCTCATTTCTGCTGAAATGACGCAACAGCAGATTCTACAACTATGACTCAAAGGCTCCCTGCCTTTGGGAACTTGTGATGGGGATGATGTTGGTGTAACTCTAATTCAACCCAAGTCTTAAGGACAATGGCAAGTTCAGGGAACAAGGAATTTGTATTAAGCCCATGATGGTCTGATCTCCCACCAGCAAGTCTTGTCAGTGGATGGGGTGAGATGGGTTACAGAAAGAGCACAGGTTTTCATCAGAAAAACCTCAATGAGCCTGGCTGGTATGGTTCAGTGGTTGAGCATCAACCTATGAACCAGGAGGTCACTGTTCGACTCCAGGTCAGGGCACATGCCAAGTTGTGGGCTCTATCCCCAGTAGGGGGCGTGCAGGAGGCAGCCGATCAATGATTCTCTCTTATCACTGATGTTTCTATCTCTCCCTCTCTCTTCCTCTCTGAAATCAATTTAAAAAAAAGACACACATATCTTCTTAATGTAAGAAAAACCTCACTGAGCCTCAGTTTTCTCACATGTATAATGTGTGATAACCACTTTCTTACGGATTGCAGTCCAGATGGGTGGTAACGCAGATCAAGCACCTGGCACCATATGCTGCTCAATCAACAGATACCTTATTCTCTAACCATTTTCTTAACTCGGACCTAAGATTTTCTAATTTCCCTCAACTGAAAAATCAGCAGGTCTTCAGAAAAGGCTAATTCAAAATTCTCCAAAACTCACCCCCCCCCCCCCCCCCGCCATGTAGACTTAAGGTCACAGGCCTGGAAATCAGGGAGGGGCAGAGGAAGGGTGGGTTTCCCAACTGGACAAGGCACACATCTCCCCTTCCAATGACTCACATACTAAGGCTGGAGCTTAATGAAAGAAAAAAATGAGAGGAACTTGAGGAGAGAGGGAGAAAGACCAGTCATCAGCAGCAGGAAAAGAATGCTTATGAATGAGCAAGGAGCAGGGGCCATGGGAAAAGACTCCTCTTGGGAAGCAGTAAGACATGGAATTACAGTGGGAGGCGGGGGGAGGGTGGATGCACGGAAGGTTGTCACCATGCTACACATTTATGGAGAAACGTCTTGAGATCTTTGGACTGATCCTGGTGTCTGCAGCTGGAGTTTCAGGGGAAGCGCAGTGGTAGTAAAGGGAGCTTGGGGGTGACAGCCCTGACTCCGGGCCTGGCTCTCCCCCTCACTGTGTGACCACTTCTCTAAGCCTCCTCATCTTGGCAGAGCAGCAAGCCTCTCCCTCTCAGGGTTGCCAGGACTCAATGAGACAATACGGGATCCTGCCTGGCACCAGATGGGTAGGCAAAGCACTCTCTCAGAAATCCACACCACCCTTTCGCCTTGGTAACTGAGATTTACTCAATGCCTGCGCTTGATTTCAGCAAAACAAGTCAATTGCTAAACAAAGATTACACAATGACCTTCTACCCAGTGGCAACTTCTGATCTGAGAAGTAAGCTGGCAGCAACAGGCTGTGAGGTTGATCGAAGGACCTGATGACTCCCTCCATCCCACAGCTACCAAACTGCTCATTAGTGGCCGGCAAACTCATTAGTCAACAGAGCCAAATATCAACAGTACGATTGAAATTTCTTTTGAGAGCCAAATTTTTTAAACTTACACTATATAGGTAGGTACATTGTTATTAACTTAATTAAGGTACTCCTAAGGCTTAGGAAGAGCCACACTCAAGGGACCAAAGAGCCACATTTGGCTCGCGAGCCGCAGTTTGCCGACCACGGTGCTAAGTGAACTGAATTTTACTGGTTCATAGCCCAGTTCGCAGGAACCATTCCAGACCAGAGGCGTAGGCCTCGCTGTGATCAGTAAGGACTTTCTGGAGCACCCTGCTCCCTTGGAAACCTGAGCCTGGGAAACTATGTGGGTCAGCAGGCTCCATTCATTCCCACTCCACAAGGGCAGGTACCCCTAAGGCAGGAGAGGACGTCAAACCTCCTGACCACGAGGATGTAAATGGACCGAACAGCAAGGGGACGTTCCCAGAATCAGAATTCCTACAGGAGCTTCATCACAGTCCTAGGCACCCTGAAATGGGGGGAGCAGAGCTGGAGAGAAACCCAGAAAGGCTAAATCACCCTGACCTCTCATGCTGCTCAGCAGCTCCAAGGGCCTGTCTGATCCACCTTCACATCCCTGTGTGTGGGAAGGTGTCTGGGCTGGAAGAATCCACTCCCTAACCATCAGTGTGATGTTGAAAAAGCAAATAGTGTTTGACTTGCAATCAGAGCAACTAGGTTTGAATCTTTTCTGTGCTTCGTACTAGCTGTCTGACCACGGATAAGTCACAGTGCTTCTCTGAATTTCTGCTTTCTCATATGTAACATACAGAGCTTTGTTCACTAAAAAGAAAACACACCCACATATTGTGAGCATCTATTCTATTCAAAACTCTGCAAAAGACACAGACATGAATAAAATAAGTTCCTTCATGAGAAAAGAATATAATTTTAAAGCCCTTTTCTTGTACTAACAGTTTCTTGCCAATTGCTAACACTGCTATTGTAGAGATGATGAAAATGACATCCTATCTATAATATGTGTTGGGTTGCCCCACTACCCTATCATGTGTGTGGAAGTCCCTGGCACAGAGACCTCACCCCATGAATGGAGTTCTCTTCTTCCTGGCCTTCGCTTCAAAATCGGGGTCTTGTGAAATTCTAACAAAACCTCCTTAGAAAGCTCTGGCTGGACTCGATCTGGCTCCCTAGGTCTTTACTAGCAGAGTTAGATGTGGGGTGAGTCACCCTCCGTTTTTGCTAAGTCATTTGTGTTTCATTATGTGATGATTTGCATACTGGTGAAACAGGTCTGCACTGTCCTCTCGCTTCATTTCCATCACTCCAGGGACAGCTCTGCTGAGAGTGAAAAGGAGGCTTTTGTCCTTCCTTCTGTCCCTGCCTGCTCTCTTCCTGGAAGTTTGTCCAGATCGCTGACACCCACAGGGTAAAACTTTCTCCCTTCTCTCATCTCCTCAAGTGGTTCACACTTGGCTCTGGCTCATGTGCCTGGTGACTCGTCTACATGGTGCAGAACTTGGATTTCTGTGTAGGAAGTTATTCAACTACTTTCAGGACAGAAAAGACATTTTTAGTTGACTTTTCTTTTTCTTCAGAAGGGAGTCAGCCCGGCTAATGTGGCTCAGTGGTTGAGTGTCGACCTATGAACTAGGAGGTCAGGGTTTGATTCCAGGCCACGGCACATGTCCAGGTTTCAGGCTCAATCCCCAGTAGAGGGTATGCAGAAAGCAGCCGATCAGTGATTTTCTCTCATCATTGATGTTTCTATCTTTCCCTCTCTCTTCCTCTCTGAAATCATTAAAAATATTTTTAAGAAAACTTTTAAAAAAGGGGGAGTCAGATCTTGTTTTCTGTCACTATCAGGGGTAGAAAAAGAAACTACCATTTTGGTGAGCACTGTTTTAGATACTGTGCTGGGTGCTTTAAATGACATAACCAGCATTGTTACAGCATTCTCTTGGGTTTGACACCATTGTGCCCATTTTGCAAATATAAAGAACAAGTCCAAAAGAGGTCATGTCACTTGTTCAAGGTAACAAAGAGCCATGTTTTACATGGAGTAATATTTGTTTCTTTCTAAGTCCATACTCCTAATCACAGAACTACCTGGCTTCCTTAGGTAATTAGTACTTCACACACAAAGTATTGGGATCTTATGTATTGAACTTCTGCCTTTGGAGAAAAGAGGGGACTACATAGCTGTCCTGAACTAAAGGCAATCTGCATGGAAAGTTGGAACTTCAGGCTCCTCCCATTTCACACTTGGATAATACCTAGGCCTGAAACACAAGTGCACAGCCTTTGTAAGCGTTCTGTAGAATCTCTGACCCGCTCGTAAACGGCCCTTTCCTCTCTGCTCTAGCCCTCCAGTCTACTCTGGATCAGAGAACTTATCCAGTTGTTTTGCAGCCATGTACTTTTCAGGCTTCACACACAAAATGGCGCTCTTTCGATGTCCCCAGGTGCTCACAAGGTCTAATTATAGGTCACTAACAAAAGGAGGATGGAAGGATGGATGGAGGGAGGAAGGGAAGGAGGGAGGGAGGGAGAGAGCAAGGGATGAAAGGATGGGTGGATGGGTAGATGGATGGATGGATGATGTAGAGAAAAAACATCTGGCATAGTGGTGGATTCCACTTGCAAACAGCAATCTTGTTCCTACAAAGTTTCAGCAAACACCCCCAGGATCTGTGGATATGCCTCGTGGGTACACCAGACCTCACTGCTCCGGGATTCTAAACATGCTGAACAAAACCTCAATGACTAACAACCACAGGCCAAAAAACACGGCTGTCGAGCCACTTCCCTGTTTCCTTGGTACCCGGCATACCCTCTGACACATAAATAGTTCTCACGAGCACCACAGTAAAGAGTCATTCATTCGGTAAACAGTTCAGTGAAGACGCAGCAAAGGTCTCCTTTACACCACACAGTCCCCTCGTGATCTATTAAGTCAGCGATGAGGAGACAACGTTCTGATTGCAACAGAAAGTACCTTACAGTTTCTCTGGTGGATATATACAAAGAAGTGAATGGTGAGAAACTGGGATGAGAAACTTCCTTACACTCCCCAAATGGGGATCAAGCCCACAACCCAGATATGTGCCCTGACTAGGAATAGAACCTGTTAACATTTTATTTCATAGAAAGATGCTCAACCAACTGAGCCACTCCGGCTGGGCTGGTTTCTATAAATTTTGGAAATTACTTGAATTCTCAAAGCCTTACTTGGTAATCCTTCCCCACAACAGAAATGATGTTATTTATGAGATAAGTCTCCTGTAACAATCAACTGAGTTCATGGATTTTCGGAAAACAGTGCTTATTAATAAATTTATACAAAGTGTTTTCATCACTTTATAATTTCAAAATGGGTACTTAATGCTTATCAAGCAGATATGCTAACTCTTATTTTTATTTGAAAAATGGAGAAAATCCTGGAAAGTAAAACAACTTCTGCTAAGGCAATGGCTGAGCTCAGAATAGAACTTAATTTTTCTAGCTAATCTCCTTTTCAAGGATTTCACTGTAAATCTGTCCCTAGCCAATCGGGGGGTTTCATGTACAGAAGGGATGTAAGCTGGGGCTGGATGCTGGACATTGGAATCAGAGGGCAGATACTTACCACCAAATACAGCATGGTGTACATGGAGAAGGAGGCGTGGCCAGAGAAGAAGGACTTCCTGCAAGAGCAAGAGAGGGCCATGAGAGCCGTATTCACATTCCCGTACACATTTGACTCCTGTCTTCTCTGCCTAGATTGTCACCTTGAGAGCAGCACTATTTGTTTATTTTTGCATCCTTGATGGTACTTTGGATGAGTTGTCTGGAACCTTGCAGGCACCCATGAATGAATGAACAAATGAATGAATGAACAAACGAATGAATGAACTTACCTATACTATATCATACTTGTTTTTTTGCATATCTATAATCATTTGTGAGTTTCTCAAGAACAGGGACTCTGTCATACTTGCCCATTAAACCCAGAGCACAGCGCTGGGCCTGGCACCTAGGAGATGCTTAGTATATGCTCACTGAACTGCCTGCATCAAACGGGCGCACATAGTGGTCACGGGAGTGGTGCCTCACCTGGCTTCCTGGACTTTGCTGTCATCGCCTCTGCATTTGTAGTTTTGAATGTAGCCCTCGGAGCAGTTGATGAGGCTGAAGTCAGGGTTGCAGACGCTCAAGAAATGAGGACGCAGACGTCCTATGGAGACTTTGGCAATGTCTGTGAAGGACTGGCTGATGGCACAGCCAAAGAGGAAGCAACCTACTTGCTTATAGAGGGCTGCCACGTAGGGATTCCGAATCGTGGACCGGGACTTCTCCTTCAGGTAATAGATCCGGTAGAATTCCCCTGTGATGATCTAAAAAGAAAGCAAAAGGGGAATTAGGCAGGATCAAGACCCATGATCAAAACTGATGCTGTAAAGGGTATTTAACAATGTAAGAGAATGTTCAGTACCTGACTGCAGGTTATAATCTAGGAAACCCCAAGTTCTATTTAAAAGCATAAAAATACAAATATGCACGGGAGGAAAGTTCTAAGTGCTAACATGGACGTCATTTCCCCTGTTCAAGGAAGTCCTGCATAGCCATAGAGTACCTTCATAATAAAAACATACACTCAAATATTGTCATGCAAATACACATTTCAACATAAGAAAGAGATAAATAAGAATTTAGCTACATAAAATACATCTACATGAAGAAGCAAGAACAGTTAAGAGTGGTCAGGATGTCAGAGGATCGAAGCAAATGTGAAGGCTCTGGGATTGGGGTAAAGGATCACCAACAACAATCTAACTCTACAAAGGGCCTCAGCCTTGTGCCAACACTGAGCCATGGTGGGGGTTTCTGTAGTAAAGGGTGACTGTCCCAAGGCCAAGTCCTGAGTTTGAGTCTGAACTCTGCCACCTACCTGGTGTCCTTAACCTCTCCAGGCATCAGTCCCTCCCTCCAAGAAAGGAGGCTACACACCTTTGCAGAGTTTTTGGCTTAAATGTGATAAATAAACTGGGTCATGGAAAGTGATTATTCCATCTTCCTTTTTAGAAGCACGGTATGATGAAATGAACACTGGATTATAAACCAGGAACTTTTCATACAATGCCCTTCAGTGTTTGTGAATTTTCTCAAGTCTGGTTTGCATTGTCCCTTCGATCCTGAAGGCCAGCGAGTCTTGATTTTCGTACCCTTCCTTCATCCCTCAATGTCTACTTCTTGACACTCAGGGGACATTTATCACTATTAAAAAACAAAACAAAAGAGAGAGCTACCGATCACTGAATCCCTACTTACCAGTCATTGCTTTTATATACTTGATTTTGTGAAATCCTCACAACAACCATGATAGATACAATTGAGGCTCAGAGAGGGATGCACTTCAACTGAAGCTGCCTGGTTTTATAGTAAGAATGTGGGTGGGGCCAGCGGATTCCCTGTACGATAAAGGCCTATGTTGCCTATGCAGCAGAGGACCGATTCTGCTCTGGTGATGCACCAAACCACACAGCCTGCTGCCCTTCTCTTAACTCCGAAGCACAGCCCTGGCCACTTCCTGGTTGTAACCACAGTCCAGGGGGAGCGATATTCAACTCATCACTCACCACAAAGGCTCTTTCACTCTTCCTCACAGGGCAGGAAGATGAGCCACACTTGCCCTTTCAGGGAGCAGAGAGCATGTTCACAACCACAAGGGAAGCAATAGGCTGACACGTCGGGCACTCCTTTCCAAAGTCTCCTGTTATTCTTCCACAGCGGGGGCAGGCATCAAGGCATGGGGTCTGATCCAAGTCCTCCAGGGCTCCAGAGGCTGGGGATAGGATGGCCATGAATAAAGGGGCATGCCAGCTGGGCCAATGGGCCGGCAGGTGCAACAGTGAGAAGAGCTATTTCTACAGCTAACATTCATACAGCGATTCTGTGTTTATAAATGCTTGCCATTTATTTATTTTTTTAATGTGTTTAATTGACATTAGAGAGAGGAAGGGAGAGATAAAAACATCGATGAGAGAGAAACATAGATCGATTCGATTGGCAGCCTCCTATAAGCCCCCTACTGGGGATTTAGCCTACAACCTGGGCATGTGTCCTGACTGGGAATTGAATCAGCAACCTCCTGGTACATGGGACAATGCTCAACCAATGGAGCCATAGTCGCTGGGCACTACTTATTTCCAAGTACTACATTTTGGTTTCCCAGATCAGATTGAGTGTGATTCTATATTAGAGGGAGACAGTCAAAGGCCAGTCCAGCCAGTCTCCTGGCTTAGCCACCCCCTGAGTGAGCAGGACAGTAGTCTTCACAAATAAATGCCTTATTGCAAAATTGGAAATATCCTCTAAACATTACCAAGAGTCCTTTGATAACACATTGCACAGATTAAAATCTGAGAAGCATAGCAAGTCAGAAATGAAAGGGTCCATTATATACACAAGAAACTGAGGTCCAAGCTAACTCACATTTTAAAGATTAGACCCAGGTGTTCCGAGTCCCCACCCAGCATTCTTTCCTACCATTCATGGCCTAATTCCCCTTTTGAACCTGTTTACACTTTTACCCTATGTAACCTTACAGGCTAACAAGTTCCAGATGTTTATAACCGCCATCATGTACTCTAACTCTTTCTTATTCTTCTTTATAGGTCATGCTCACGTGACTTTAGACTCAGAGGGAAGAACACCAAAGTAAGAGTCAAGGTGCCAGGGTTCAAAAGTCCCTACTCATTGAGTGAATTTGGAATAAGTTAGGTTCTACATTTGCAAAATGAGGACGCTGGGCTCCATGATTTACTACCTCCTAATCGCAATGACATGTATTCTCAGCTCTCCTGTGCCACCTCCACCACTACCTCCCAACCCAGCAAAGGTAAGAAGCAGTAGGAAGACAAAGTGCTTCCTAGGAGATGACCGCAGGCAGGGAGCGGAAGCAAGGCCCTGTGCAGGATCCCTGCCCTTGGACTGCTCCTGAGGTGCTTGAACCATATCACTGTCACAGATTACGAAACTGTTTCGAATTGGCTCAGCTTGAGTGTGATTTCCTATTTGATGCTGAGGAAGAACAGGTGGGTTTCCACTGCAAATTGGTATCTTTTACGTAAATTTACTAATGCATCTCAGGTGAGTTGCCTCCCTGCATCAGTCAGCCTAAACTCACAGTGGTACTCAACCTTGGCTGCACATTAGAATCATCAGGGAATCATTTTGAAATCCTGATTTCTGGGCCTCATCCTCCGGAAATTCTGTTTCTTTGTTATGGGGTGGGGCCACAACATTAGTGACAAAGAAACAGAATTTCTGAAGGATGAGGCCCAGAAATCAGGTTTAAAAAAGATTCCCAGGTGATCCTAATGTGCAGCAAAGGTTGAGAACCACTGGCTTAGAGAGAAAGGGCTTGATTACAACTCAAAGATTCCTTTCAGGTCTGACATGCTTCATTATAAAACTTCAGTTTTCCATGCCCCAGTCTTGCAAACAGTAAATGGCTAATTAAAATGCTTCCTCTAATCATGGGGAGATAAAGAGAACATTTTATGGTACCTCAAATTCCTAATAACAATGCTAATCATAGCACCAATCATCCTCATTTCTTTTGTACTTTATAGTTTCATTTAATCTGCAACTCTGTGGAGAAGATATACCCATTTTAAAGATGGCAATATTGAGGCTCTGAGAGCTACTGATTTATCTGCAGGATTAAAAGGCGAGCTCAGATATTCTGACTCTCAAGTTCCAAGACCCACGGCTGACTACATTGAGAAAATTTTATTATTTCTATTGTTATGAAAAACAGTTTCCACTGTACTATAGCAATTGCATATTTTCAAGGATTGGACCAGGCTGAAGCCATTTAGCAGACACATGACTCCAGGACCACATGGCTTCTGGGCCAGCCCTGACAGATCTTGGAGTTAATGAGCAACAAATTATGTATTTTCTCTCTCCCCTTGTACAGAAGGGTCGGGGAGTCGACAACACAGCCATAAATCATCATTATGAACCAGCCGGACTTGGCTTCTTGTAATCCTAACCCTTAAAAGGCCATTTAATGAAATTCGGGCTGTGAATGACGGCCCGCATACCTCACCTCTGCACAAGAGGCGAAGGCTTAAATTGTTCCCTGACACGTTACACACCTAACTCCGGAGTCCCAGATTTACTGCTTTCGGACTTTATTCATTACTCACAATGTTTTTATTCCTGGTTAATAAAATAAGCTCTTCTCTTCCCCTCCCTCTCCCCCTACAAAGGCTGCGTCCCCACCCCCAGACTCAGCCCCCTGGAGCCCTCGATTCTGCTTCAGTCAGCAAGGTTGTGATATGTAAATTTCACTGCTGAGACAAATGCCTTCAATGTTGATCCCTTTCTGAAGCAGCAAGCAACAGATTCTGGGGGGATGGCCGGCTGCCAGGCGAGCAGAGAACTCTCCCCTACCTGCCTCTTAAAACACTTGGCACAGAATCTGGAAACTAATAAACTGGAAAGCACTGCAATTAAGCTACGAGGGGACAGAAAGGGATCAGTCCTTGCCTGAGAACGGCTGCAGTTTTGGGGGGAGGTTGTCTCCAACTCTACAAGGGCCACTCTTCCTGTCTTTCCTGGTGAAAAAGAGCTCAACTTGCCCACCAATTCACAAATATTGAACTGTTCTGGGGAGGAAATTTGGAGAAACATTGGGATAGACTTTCTGGATAGGAGAGAGCCTAGGATGGTGAGATAGCACTGACTCTGGAGCCAGCAGAGCCTTGGTCTGAATCTCATCTCTTAACCTTAGGCAAGTGACTTCATCGCTCAGGGTTTGATAGCATCTACCTGGCAGGATGGCGAAGGGGACTCAAGCAGGCGGTATGTCAAATGGCCAGCATGTAGCTGAGGGGCCCTCTGAAAGTTAATTTTCTTCTCCCATTGGAGAAGGGGAAACAGAAAACTAGCAAATACTCATAGAGAATATCTTTCCCCAGATACTTCCACGGGCTCCTTGGAAGAGAACATTCCAGGAAGTAGTTTAGAAGTCCTACCCCTCCAGACACACGTGTATAGATGACGTGGGTTTTGACCATTTTATCTAAGATGACTTTTTCAAGGGAACAAACTGGAAGGCAAGTCTAAACCCAAAGCGGAAAGAGCATACAGTATCGTCTGTTATTTATTTTTAACATTCCACTCTATTTTAAATTACATCAAGAAAAGATATTTGCAGTGTCTCAAGGATCCCTCTTTTTAGAGATGCAGAACTCATCTCCTTTCCCTATTGAGTTCGAAGGACCAACTTCCCTATGTTCTGATCTGCTTGAATAATATTTGCATAGCATTTTACAACTTACAAAACATTTCCCGTCTACTGTGTTATTTGCTTCTCACAACA